AGTTAAAGAATGGACCCAAATGCAAGAAAGCAGACAGACTTACAGAGACCTACATGAGATGTAAAAATTTTATGTGTATGAGTGCACACCATGTAAGTGCACACATGTTGTACTATGCCTGCAGAGGCCAGAATAGAGCACTAGATCCCCTGGAACTGGAGTTACTAACTGTTGTTAGCCACCATGTGGGTGCTGGGAACTGGACCTTGGTCATCTGCAATAGCAGCCAGTTCTCTTAACTGAGTCATTTCTCCAGCCTCGGTTTCTTTTTTAAAGTATCAAGAACTAAGCTGGGCTTGGTGGTGCACACCTTTAATCCCAGAAGCAGGTCGATATCTGTGAGATTGAGGTCAGCTGAGTCTACATAGTGAGTTCCAGGCCAGCTGGGGCTACAGGGAGGCCCTGTCTCAAAACAAACAAACAAACAACAAACACAAACAGAAAAGTTTAAAAGTCTCAGGAACTGTGAAGAGGGCCAGTGAGATGGTTCTGTGGGTAAAGGCACTTGCCATCAAATCTGGTCACTTGAGTTCCACCCTAGTATCCACATGGTGGAAGGAGAGAACCAACTCCTACAAATTGTCCTCTAACCTCCACATGTGTGAGTGTATCTTGCATGTACCAGTACACACCCTCAAATAGATAAATATGAGCAATAGAAACATAAGAACTGTCATGAGTAATGGAATCAGACACAGATTTAAAACAGCCTGCACAGGACAAGACTGGCTCATAGACAAAGGACTTCAACACTTAAATTCCTCCTGGGTTGCCCTGGTTCCCTCAGTCCTGTGGGAGAAATGTATGTGTGGGGCTGGAGGAAGCTTCAGGTGGGTCTGAGTCACAGCTGAGGGACAGTGCACTTGGGAAACTCCACTCTTCCATACAGAGGCTGTGAGCCAGACCATCTAACCTTTGCTCCAGAGATACTATCTTCATCTTACTGGGCAGCAAACAAATCTGTCCACTCCTGGGGAGGGAGATGAAATCTTCATTTTCAAAGGCTATTTGTATAAAATCCTTGAAATGATAGTTCTGAATAAAAGCCGACAGAGCCTCTGCTGAGAAGATTCCCAGAAGCACTGGGGAGAGGTGGAGGACCGTGCCCCAGCTGAACATCCTATTGGAATTCATTTCTGAATGACTACACTGTGGTCAGAGAACATGCTTATACAATGCCAATCTTTTATTTATTTGTCTTTATATGTATGAATGTTTGGCCTGCATGTATGTAAGTATACCCATGCATGCAATGCCTGCAGAGACAAGAAGAGGGTGTTGGATTCCCCAGAACTGGAGTTACAGGCAAATGGCCATTAGCTGCTATGTAGGTGCTGGGAACCGAACCCAGGCCCTCTGCAAGAGCAGCCAGTGCTATCAACTGCTGAGCCATCTCTCTAGCCCCAATCTATTATTTTTAAGAAACTGTTGATTTTTTTGTTATTTAAACCAGAAAAATAACACATTGCCAATTTTATTTTTTATATTAATGAATGCCCTAACACCACGCTCTGCCAAAGTGGGAGAAAACTATTTTTTAAATATGATTTGTTTTATTTTTTATTTGTGTGTATCTGTTGAGAGTGTATGCACACATGTGTGCAGAGGGCAGAAGAGGGGCATGGGATCCTTTGGAGCTAGAGTTACAGGTATTTGTGAGCTGCCCAGAGTGGGTGCTGGGAACTGAACTCTGGTCCTCTGATAGTGCAGTAAGTGCTCTTCACCATGGTACCATCTCTCCAACCCACGATATCAATATTTAGAGCTACTTGTGAAGCATGTTGGAGATGATCCCCAGGAATGAGACACAGACACCACAGGACATGCAGACACCTCCATTTCAGGTACTTCAGAAGCATCCTCTGTTCAGACTCTCCCTTAGAAAGAAGTGTGTCATCTCCAAAAGATAAGAGACGATGCCTTCTTAGGTTGCAATTGCTGTGCCAAGTATAAGGAGAGAAAGGGAAGAGGGAAGCTGTTCTGGGGTAACTGGCCACCCTCCAGGTCTCAGCAGATTCTCAGCCTGGCAGCCTCGATGAAGCCCTGGCATCCTCTCACTTCCTGGCCCCTCATTCCCTGCCTGCAACACAGACACACTTGGAATCTAGGCTGTAGTTCCTCATTTCTGTTCTGCAGAAATGATGGGGCAAGAGAAGATCAGGCCAAAGCAATGGAAAGACATTTTACCCTCCATGGTTCACCAACTGCCCCTTGGTACTCCAATCCCAGAAGGCTATGCGCTCCACCAGCTCTGACTGTCTTGGCTTTCCTCTGGACTTCTCCAAGTTTTGAATGGGAATTCCTCAGTCTGTGCCTCCTTTCCCCTTGTAGTTTCTCCATTCTAGTTGTATGTTAGAAGGGCTTGAGAAGCATTTCAGAGAGCCGGCCTCAGATCCAGCAGCTGGAGATTCCCCTACAATTGCTCCAAGGAAGACCCTGGCTATCAACAGCTTTTAAAGCACCCTTGGTGGTTCTAACGTTCAATGAAGGTTTTCCATTTCTGCCTCTAATTTCCCACATCACAGGGTTTCTTAATTTTCTTTGTAAGAACTAAAAGCTGAGGGCTGGAGAGGTGGCTCAGCAGTTAAGAACCTGCTCTTGCAGAGAACCTGGGTTCAGCTCCCAGCATCCACATGGTGGCTCACAATCATCTGTAACTTCTGTTCTAGGGGATCCAATGCCCTTTTCTGGTCCATGAGCACCAGCCATCTCATACTGCACATACATACATGCAGGCAAAACATTCATATACATAAAAGTAAATATAATCTTTAAAAAGAGAACTGAGGGAGATGGTTAATAGCACTGCCTGCTCTTGCAGAAGACCCAGATTTGAATCCAAGCACCCACATAGTGGCTCACAATCTGCAACTCTGCCCCCCTCTTCTGGCCTCCATGGGCATTGTACAACATGGGTACACTTACATACATGCAGACATAACACTCATACACATAAAATAAAGTTTATTAAAAAGGGAAAACCAAAAGATGAATTTTGTTTAATGCCCAAATTATTTAATTTATGTACCTAATAAATACTATGTTAAAAAGCTACTCTTCAGATGGAGGATGGAGAGCTGTGAACTGTCAATAGAAACAAGGGCCAAGTCAACCAAATACAATAAGGTTATAGTTGTTGTATTGCTTGCTGTGACAAAATACTTTGACAAAAGCAACTGAAAGAAGAAGAGGTTCACTTGGGCTTATAGCGTGAGGGGATCATTCCATCATGGTGAAGAAGGCTGGTCACACTGTATCAGCAGTCAGAAAGCAGAGAGTGAGCAGGAAGTAGGGCCAGTCTGTGAAATCTCAAGGCCGGCCCCCAGTGACGCACTTCCTCCAGCAAGACTCCACCTCCTAAAGGTTCCACAACCTTCCCAAACAGTGTCACCAGCTGGGGACCAAGTGTTCTAATACAAATTCAAACCCCAATGTAGAACTTGTTTGAATCTGGATTCAAAGCAACAAAGCCCCCGGTCCGTTTTTGAGGACTGGGAAAATTAAGACTGTGTAATGATATTAAGTGGCATGTTGCATGCTACAATATGATAAATTGTATGGTGATTATGCATTTTTAAAGTCATTATCATCTAGATATATGCTAATATACTTAAAGGTGAAATGATATGATATCTGGGATTTGCTTTAAATACTCCAGAAAAAAATTACGTTTTTGTAAATATCTAATAGGTAACAAAAACACCCAGCAAGTTATCTTGACAGTTTAAGATGATCTTAGTTTGGTTAAATTCTCTTAAATCATTAAAAATATAATTACAAATTCACTATGAATGTTTTTCTGAGTACTTCAAACATTGTAAAACTTTCAGAGATGCAATGACTTCAAAGTTTATTATTATACTTACACTTGAACCTAGTCTAAGGCCTTAGAACAATGGGTTTATTCAGTTTGATAATTTATGGGCTTGTTTTATGCCTTCCTAGGGGATATTAGTATACTTATTTTAATATCTTCCTAAGATTTCAGTCATATATTTTTATATCTTCCCAGGGGTGGAGTAATATTACAAGACCCTAAAGAAAAAGTATGTGTGCTTAGCTCCACAAGGCTGCAGGACCTGGATTACTGCTGAACCATTTCAGTCTGGATGCAGGGTTCACCATCAGGAGTTAACTTCTGACATGGTTGTGATACCATCTTAAGGTCACACCTTCACTTAGGTCTTACCATTATTATTATTATTGCTGTTTACAACCTGATGCCTTTTGATAAAATGTACTTGAAAGTCTCATTTTGCCAAAGTTACAAAATCTGATGTCCTACTAGCATGGTACACTGACTTGGTCTGTTACCTTTTAAAGAATTATGTATTCTGTATTGATATTTTATTAAAATGAGTAGGGTCAGCTAGTGGTTTCATTTCCTGTGAGATGAGGTTCTGAGAATGGGTCCTCTACTCTTCCTCTCTGGTGTATTTGGCTAAGTCGTCTTCTTTGAAGACCTTCACTATCAGCTGACTGTGCCCCCCCATCCACATGATGAAATCCTAACCTCAGAAACAATGGTATTGGACGGTGGGAACTTTGAAGGAATTAAGTCATTGCTACCCTCAGGAATGAGGTTAATAAAGAGATTCTGGGGAGCTAGTCTGCCCCTTCCGCCTTATAAGGACACAGCAAGAAGTTACCCTCTACAAAAGAAAGTGCCATCACCAGATACCTAGTCTGTTGGCCCCTTCATCTAGGTCTTCCAGCCTCCAGAACTGTGGGAGATAAGTGTTGTTTTTTGTTTTTGCTTTTTTTTTTTTAACCACCTGCTTTATGGTATTTTGATATATCAGCCCAAATGGACCGAGTCAATCCTATTCAATCTTCTACTGGATAATTTTGTGCCATCACAGATCCAAATTAAGTACTAGAAGTTCTCCCTATTAAATTATCATATGTTAGCCCCAGTACTAGGCAAACCAGTCTTCCCTCTTTCTGATAAAGCTACTGTTATTATTCTGAATTATTTGCTTATTTAGTTTCTTTTTTTTTTAAATATGGGACACTTCACAAATTTGCACATCATCCTTGCGCAGGGGCCATGCTAATCTTCTCTGTATCGTTCCAATTTTAGTGTATGTGCTGCCAAAGCGAGCATGCGTATTTAGTTTCTTAATTTTACTTTTCTTTCAAAAACATATGTATACATATTTATATTATTATGAACTAGTTATTTAGTGGGAGAACCAAAATCCCTATGTTTAAATAGTGCCCACTTGTTAAAAAAATCTATTAACAAGAAATATATCCAGCATTGACTATCTTTTTAAAAAATTTACCACTGGGGTTGTAGAGATGACCCCAGTAGGTAAGAGCTCTTACAGTTCTTGCAGAGGGCTGGAGTCCAGTTCCCAGCACTCATGTCAGGTGGCCACAACAGCCTGCCACTCCTGCTTCAGAGGATCTGATTCCCTCTTCTAGCCTCCACAGGCACCCCCACACATGGCAGACACACACATACATACACATAAATTAAAATAAAAGCAAATCTTGGAACTGGAGAGATGACTCAGCGGTTAGAGCGTTGGCTGCTCTTGCAGATGACCTGGGTTCTATTCCCAATATCTACATGGCAGCTAACAATTGAAACTCTAGTTCCAGGGGAATCTAACACCCTCTTCTGGTCTCCACAAGCATTGTATGACACAGGTGGACTTACATACATGCAGGTAATACACTCATACACATAAAATAAAAATAAAAATATTTTAAATGGCAAATCTTTTTTTTAAATTACCATATTTTTATATCAATTATTTTAAATTTCTTTTGGGGGTATAATTATGAATTCATCAACCCTTGATAGACCCAACTTGTTCCAAACACCACAGGAAAAATAATACTTTGTGTTCAAATAGTCATAGTTCAACTAACAGAAACCCTTAAGTTGAATCCTTTGGTCTTTGGCTACTGCCTCTAACATTTTAAAAAATAAAATTCTTACTTTCTGGTCAACAGCAGCATATTCCAGGCTCATTCTGATTTTTTTTTTCTTTTCTTAACACAAGGAATCATCTGTCCTCTGAAGGGTCCTGGTTTCTTTTACTTGACAATAGTATTAAATAGTGGGCCTGGAGGATGCGGATGAAAGGACACTGGCAGGAGTCCTGCCAAGGCTGCTGAGCCATCTGCACTGGAAAATGTGACTCGATAGAGAGATCATGGTTTCTAGTGATTTTCAATTTAAAGAGGCTACGTTATAGGGGTTGAGGATGTAGCTCAGCTGGCAGAGTGCCCGCCTAGTATGCACGAAGCCCTGAGTTCCCCAGCACTTCATAAAACCAGGTGTTATGGTGCATACCTGTAACCCCAGCACTGGAGAGAGTAAGGCAGGAGCATCAGAATTTCCAGGTCAACCACTTAGTGAGTTTGAGGCCAGCCTGGGCTACATGACCCTGTCTCTAAACAAAACTAAACAAAGTAAGAACAAAAGAAGATGATGCTGTATCCTGATACCCTCTTTTTCATATGAGTGCTATTTCCTGACATTAATACTTTCTTTTTCATCTATTTTATTTATTACTTTTATGTGTATGAGTGTATTGCCTGCATATGTGGAAGTGTACCCATGTTGTGCAATGCTCAAAGAGGTCAGAAGAGGGAGTTGGATCCCCTGGAACTGGAGTTATGGATAGTTGTTAGCTGCTATGCAGGTGTTAGCAATGGAACCCAGGTCCTCTGTAAGAGCAGTCAGTGCTCTTAACCACTGAGCCATCTCTCCAGCCTCTGACATTAATACTTCGCTGTACCAACATCCAGGTCAACAAACACGTGTCCTAATGTAGGACATTGGCTACTGCCAGCCCCTAGAATGGTGGGGTACATAGGATGTGACCCTCTCTATGCTCTTCTACTGGCCTTAGGGCCTTGGCTCCTGATTGTCTGAATATTTTACTTTCCTTACCCCACAATAACACTTGGAATAATTTATAGAGACAGTGATGAAAACAGGGATTTTTTTAAAAAAAAGTTCTTAGCGATCTTAGAAGACTAAGGCAAAAACAGTTTGGAAACTGGAGGGACAAAAAGGGACAAAGACACTGGTGAAAGTGGAGTCCAGGCTGGATCAGAGTTGAGTGGAAGAGCACTACCAAAGGGCAAGGGTGGAGGGTGGCGGCCGTCACATGGCCATGTTTACAAATGCCCTGTGTCCACTGCTCCCTTTGCTTCTGATAACAAATAGCTGGTCAAGGCCTACTCTTCCCACAAGGCTAATACTTCCCTAATCCCCTTCTCGAGTGTTCTCTCCTTTCTGGTTTTGGAGTGTTCAGTGGTATTTTGAGAGAATAATGGATTGAAAGGGAGAGTGGTGTGTTTTCGTGATGAGGAGGGTGAGGAAGATACACTATAAATACAAGCTGCAGATATGCTGACTGATGCAACCAGTAGGTTGAAGTGCTTTTAACTGAACTCAAATCCACTACACGGACTAGAGATTACTGAAGGCGCCACAGGATTCAGCATGTTTCCATTTTCAGTTGTGATGTATGCTGTTAAGAATCAGTCACCAGCCTCCTCACATTTGGCACCAGCAACTTCATGATCATCTTGTTGACCCCTGTAGAGTGAGTGACAGGCTTTGTAAGTTCCACGACTACATCTTTCGGTCAGTTATGGTACCAAATACCTCTGCATTCCCACGTTCAGGGCTGAGATTAGCTGGGAAGGTCTAACTTGTGCTACAAGTTGTTGGAAGATACTATCCTGCCCTGCCACCATTGTTGCTAGCATGGAAGCCAGAAATGTTATGAGTACTTAGTCATCAGACTCTGCATCACAACCTTACAAAGTGATCTGCTACCGTCCACCTGTCTCTATAGCCATTCTGGCAAGGATGAAGACATTCTAAAGAGCCTCTTGTACCCCTCTCTGTGGCTATCAGATGATTGCAACAATGGACCCCAGGAAATTAGAATTTCCCGAGGAATCTCATGCTAGGAGAAGGAGAAAGCTTAGGTGCCTGGTGCCTGCCAGAGGAGGAACTTGAATCCAGGAAAGAGGTTTACATCTTGTCAGATCATCTTGTAGGAGAGAGAGGATGGGCAGGTCCTCACCTTGACCAAGACTGCTTAGCCATGTCTATCTCCTGCTCACCTCATGTCAGGGCTCCAAAGATGGCCTTTGGCAGGGAATGGTCACCGGACCTCTTTTTTCCTTCTTCTGGTGTGGCCATGTTGAATAAATCTTTGTTCTCTGGTCACACTATTAACTTGTCTTTTTAATTGGCCTACTGAGGGCAGGTGACTTACATGGGCTTGTCAGAGCTTCTGGGCACCTGACCCTAACATCTCTGACAACATCTCTTCCTGAAGTCCAGCTTCATATTCAGCTAGGCTTGAGTAGACAAGATGTTTGAAAATGCATAAAATCAGCATTTCAAAGTCATTTACAAAAAATTTCTTTGGATTCTTCTTGTTGCAAAATCATTTCTTCACATTAATACAAGTTTATAGCATTTAAGGTCTGATCAGGTGACATCTGTCACCTGATCCAGAGGTCAGAGACTCAAGGGCTCTAATGACAGCATTAACCAAAGCACTGGTCCCAAACTGTGCTAGGGAGGACCTCTGGGAGACTGTTCACAATGCTGGGACCCACCACAGTGGTCTGGTCTGGGGAAACGAATGGGGACAGGCAACTGAAATTTAAAGCCTCACAAAGGATTCTGAGGTAGGCATGTCTGGCCCAGTCCTTGAAAAATGTTTCCCAGTGTAACAATAGGTTTTTGCTTACTTTTTAGAAAGTGTTGCCCATTCTGAACCTGAACCATCTGCTGCTTGTGACAGGCACAGGCACATCAAAATCTTCCTCCCAGACCATATGGTCATCATCGCCGACATAAGTTCTCAGGACAGATATCTAGTTAGCATTAAACTTCATGGGTAGAGCTGATGGAGACTCATGAGGGGCCGCATGCTTTACTGAGTTTATATGGTTCTCTCCTTCACTACACAATGTGTCCTTGTAAGTCTGTTCAGAAATCAAAAGTCCAGGCTGAGGGGATGGCTCAGTGGGTAAGAGTGCTGTCTGCTCACACATGAGGACCTGAGTTCAAGTCCCCAGTACTCACATAAAAAACCAAGCAGGCTATGCATGTCTATAACCACAGGGCTGGGGGACAGAGATGGACAGATCCTGGGGACTTGCTAGCCAGCTAGCTAAAGGGGTAAGCCCCAGGTTCAGCAAGACGCTATCTCATGGAATCAAGGTAGAGTGATAGAGGAAGACATCAGATGTTCTCTCTCTCTCTCTCTCTCTCTCTCTCTCTCTCATACACACACACCCCAGATACTACACACTTCACACAACATACAACAATAACAATAACAACAACAACAATAATAAAAAAAATGAAACATTCAACAGAAAATTTTATGTATGATGGGGGAATTTCTAGTCTCAGAGAAGGGGGGCGGCAATAACACCCTGCCTTCTGAATTCTGTCTTCCCAGTGTTTGGCACACGTTTGTTACATTTTGTTCTCCTGTGTTTGAGGGTTCTTGCCTCATGCCTAATGATTTCCATCTTTGACCACTGTAGTACCTGTGAGGTCTAACTTCTTATCTAGTACCAGGATTACGTATTTTCCCTTTTCTGCTCCCTTCGCTGTGTACATGTGGTGATCTGAGGAGACCACACAGTTGGCTGCCAGGCGGGGCCACCGGGGATATCTCCGGATGCTCTTTGATGCTGGCCTCTGAAGGTCTGGGCTTGGCAGCTGGAAGGATGGCAGCACAGAGGAATCAGAGCAGCAGGATGAAACGATGCTAAGAATAGAGTGTGAGAACTGTCTCTGAAATGGGAATCAAATTTAAGTCAACTTGGTTTGCTACAAAGCCCAAGGTAAAGCTTTAGCGCTTGTCCAGGCATTTTGCTAGATAGAGCAATAAAGGAAACAGACATGCCAAGAGAACTTAGGCCACAGGAAAAGACAGGTAACTAGAAAATTACAAGGAAACCCGGTGAAGCAAGTCCAGGGTGGCTGTGGATGTGCTGATGAAGACAGCCCAGGCCATAGAGACAGCATGGCAAATAGTAATTTTCAAAACGGCTACTGAAATCTCAACACTCGAGAGGTAGAGATAGGAAGACCAGGAG